AAGAACAATTCAGAAAAGGAAGGTGAGAATGGTTGCACAACTTGAAGAATGTAATCAATATCACTGAACTGTACACGTAGAAATTGTTGAACTGGTGTATGTTCTGCTGTGTATATACTCAACAACAATTTAAAAAAAGGTCCTCACATATTTCCCCTCCTCTACTCCGAGCAGCCAAATGACTATGCCTCTCCCACTTTGGCAAAGGACTCGGGTTTTACTTGCTGGAGAGTTTGAAACTTAGATGTTGTGGTCTTTGGTATACCAGGCACAGCCAAGGTTGGAGGCACTTGGCAGGTAGCAATCCTGAATAGATAGCCATTTGGTGCATTCTAATTAGAAAGCTCCTTTCACACTGTCAATGAAGGGAAGGTCAAAACGTTGTGCAATAAAAAATGAGCTTCTATTAAAGTGTATCTCTAAAATAATCTTTTAAGAAAAATTTTGGTCATTCACATTTTGAATGTCATGTTTCTTTTCCATTAATATTCTAATGGTACTCCCAATTGCCTGCACTTGGAAATGGCTGAAGTTAGTGAGTGATAAGATAGACATCTAGGTGGTGAGCAGAAGTCTGATGGTCACATTAGTTAACCTTCAAGTTATTTTTAAGTGACTGAATCTAATGAGCCAAATAATCTCTTTCTGTGTAAAAGTCTATTAAATAAATTACAGGGTCTTGGGGAGCAAATCACCAGGCAAGGAAAATCTCCCACATGTGAAGAACATTTTTCTTCAAATAATAAAAAAAAAAAAAACAGAATAAAGTTAACATCCATTCATATTTAATTTTAAGTTAAATTTGTTGACAAAACTGGCACTAACTTTGAAAACAAAACAAGATTAAATCAACCACAAGGGTGACTGGATAGGTCCATTATTACTGCTATACTGGGGTTCCATGTAAAATTTGAAAAATCCGAAACCATTTGGTGTAATTTCTTTTATCGTCAAAAATCACAAAACATCAAGCTGTTTGCACTCTAATCTCAGCACTCAGCCACTGAGAAACACCCAGTGTCTGAGATCTACAATAGCCATCAATTCTGAGATTCCCCTGAGGAGGGAGCTGTGACTAGGGCAAAGAACTCAAAGGCTGTAATGTAAGCTAGCATGTAAGTTAGGTAGAAATTTTTTTGCTTTTTATTTTGTTCAATTATATATTTACAGCCTGGTACACAGTAGACGCTCAATTAATACTGTAAAATAAAAGGCTGTTCTGAAAAGTCCTCTTCAAAGTTGGGAGCAACCAATACAAAGGACATGCTGAGATTCATACATATCAGTGGGTCATTGGTGAGGCTGGAAGGTATTCAACCGATGCTTCCTTTCTCCTCTCAGTCCAGATTTCCACAGCTTCTTATAATCTGGAACGTGCCCTCTAGCACAATTTTGAAAAAGGAACAAAATTTTTACTTCTTTAGAGTGTCACTAGAGTATAGATGGAGGTGTCATGTTACAGACACTGTCTACGCAATCATTAGAGAGGGTACCATGTCTTTCTGGCCCACCCTAGGGTCACTGTAATGTTCTAAGGTAGAAACAAACCACAGTGCTTCTCACTGTACTCTAGAGAGCCTCACTTAATGTGATCGTGTTGGGCTTGGACATAACAAGGCACTCTATAATAATATTCCATAGATTTCCAAAATATGCTACATTTAAATATTGCTCATTTTACAAATAAAAGCAAATAACTTACTAACCTTCAACATCTACAAAATTTGTCTAATCGTGCTTATAAGTGATATACTAGTAGTAAAATAAAATCAGTATTTATTTCTATTCACTCAGAATAAAGGAGTTGTTATATACAAAGCTCAAGTGGAAAACAAGAACTCTAAATAAGTCTCTTCTGTCCAGTACATGCTTAACATTTTCAGGAACATAAACCTTATTAGATAATATTAATTATAATGAATTTTTGTTCAGACTTTTGACCCTTGAGAGCAGTAGTTTTCAAAATATTTGGTTTCAGGACCCCTTCATACTTTTATTCATTATTGAAGACCCCAAAGGGTTTTTGTTTATATGGTAATATCTATTAATATTTCATATTAGAAATTAAAACAAAATTAAGCCCATTTCATATTAAAATAAATAATATTTTTAATGGAAAAAAACCCTGTATTAAAAATAATGTTTAATAAAAGAGCTGCACTGCTTTATATTTTTGCAAATCTTTTTAATGTCTGACTTAAGGAAGACAGCTAGAGTCTCATATCTGTTTCTGCGTTCAATCAGTTGCAGTACCATGTGACATGTGGCCTCTGGAAAACTCCACTGCACACTTACAAAAGAATGAGGGTGGAAAAGGCTAATAATGTTTTGTATTAGGAAAATAGTTTTGACCTCGAAACGCCCCACAAAGAACTTTGAGAAGGCTGCTATATACACTATGAGCCATAACTCTCATGAACATTCAGAAGAGACTCTCAAATAAACAAGGGAAAGGGGTAAAAAAAGATGGAAAGAGGAAAATATAACCAACTCCATGCAGCCATATTTAATAGGAAGACCACAACATTTTATCAGCACGCTTGTTGTTACTTTAAATGTGGCTTACTCTTTGTACTTCACCATATTTCAACAGGAAATGAATTGCTATTTGAAGAAAAGTCAATGTTTCTTTCTGACAAGACAGACCCCAGAACAAAAACCACGTACCATGACTCCTTCCAGTTCCTACATAAACATCAATTGTTAACGTACATTTACTTTTTAGACCATCACTTATAAGTGACATTCTAATTATAAGACCCATAAGTCACCTTTCTCCTGGCTTTTCTACTCTTGCACAACTTTCCACTGTCATTCAAATATTATTTAACAGGACAAAAGAGCAATTGCCAATTAACGATCAGTTCCAAACTGCTCTACTGTTCAATCATTCTGGCTGCATGTTTTTATGAACAGCAGCTGAACGGTGACCTACAAATCAACCCACTCTGACGCCTTTTAAACATGTGTTGTTCTTTAGCTAGTTCAGGTGATTTCTATCTACTACAAACAACTGGTAATGAAGCAAAACAGCTATAGTCATATAAGTACAGTCAAGAAAAAACTTTTTCCAAATAGTCATCTTACAGCATCATTTTCCCATAGTAAAAGAGATACAGGACTTCAAATATTCCTTCCACAGGCAAGCAAAAGCAGTTTACTTACGGTGACTTCTTCGGGTGACATTTGGCTTTAGTGTCTCATTTAAATTCACACCCACCTTAGCAAACCTTACAAGACTTCATTAACGAAGCCATTATCCTGGTCAACAGCATGGACTCTGGAGCAGAGTGTCTAGGTTTGAATTCTGAAGCTGCCACTTGCAATGTGACTTTGAGCAAGTTACTTAATCTGTGCCTCACTTTTCTCAGCTGTACAACAAAAATAATAAAAGTTATCTACCTCATAAGTGGTGACAGGCTTAAATGAGTAAAGCACTTAAAACAGTGCCTGGCACGACACTCAGTAAATGTTAGATTTTTTTTATGAATTAATCTTCTAAAATAGCCTCACGATGGTCACAGCAGATAGAATAGTCTATAATAATTAAGAGCACAGAGAATAATGCAGGAGGGAAATACTAAAAAGAGATGACTGTTGCAGTGTCCTTCCTTGTTAAAAAAAGGTAATTGTACACCTAAGAAAGTGCTGACAAGCCATGGAAAAGATGTCAAAGACATTTTAAAAACTTCTATAATTCTGTGCAACAAGAAAAAAAGAAACTCAAGAAGACCTGTCCTTCAAATAGATTGAAAGAAGCTTTAGTTAACGGAAAATTTGACATAGCTATCTAGAAACAAGAGCATTGTGTACCCTGCTCTGAAAGGTTACTAACTGTTACAGGCAAGATGAAACTATTGTAGACTATAAGCAGCATATACACCATAAGATATGCAGTAAGAGTTGAAAATTTTTAACTCCATTCTCACACATAGTTTAGCCAAGAAATGAAGCATGAGGCCCAAAAGAAAACGTTTATGAAAAAATAAATAAAAATCCTAACCACCAGGGTTAACCTTATACAAGATGTTTAACTCTTGGAGTGTATCAGAGCAAGATTCATCTGTGGATAGTTGGTACATTAAAATGCTAACTGGGATATGTATAATACTTACATCTAACATTTTTCAACACTTACTATGTTCCGGGCATCATCCCTAAAATCTTCTCCTTGGATTAATTAATCCTCAATATCACTATGCATTAGGTATTTTATTGTCCCCATCTTATACCCAAGGACTTGAGGCACAGAGAGATTAACTTGCCCAAATATCAAGTTAGTAGTGGTTAGTCAAAAACAGTCTGGCTCCAGAGCCCATGTTTTTAATCACCAAATAAAGGAAAAGGTTTGTACAAATATGTATCATACAATGATACTGATTATCTCTGGAAGGGGGCTAAGGTTCAGGCAGAGGATTTTGGTTATCTATAATGCATGAATAATGATGATAAGAATGTGTGAACTTATGTAATATAAAGAAAATGTTTATCTCCTACACTTAGTCAAATCTTTTATTGGACTTTCTATGGAATTCTATTTGATTACCACCTGATGTATATTCTGCACTTGCTAAAATGAACAGGATCTCCATGGTGAGCCCAATATCATAGCAGCTAGAAGTATATGCGGAGACAAGAGGGATGAATAATTATTCTTGAAAGGTCAAGACAGACATGGTCTCTATCCAACCACCAATAAGCTTCAAGACTTATCCTAGAGTTGGTTTTAGTGCAGTTGCTGGTCTCCAGGTCCCAACTGTATCAAATACGATGTTTCCCTTCCTAGCTTAAGTTAATTTATGGTACTGAAAAATTCACAAGGGCAAGAAAAAAGAAAGTGGTGGAAGTTCAGAGTAGGATAAGGCAAAAATAATAACTGATACTTAGCATGTCCCTAATAGTATGCCAAACTCAGCCACCCCCTGCAGATTGGCCATACATAATACTGATGTTTTAAATAGTTTTTGTTAATAATTTTTTATTATACTTTTATTTCTTACCCATTAAACAAGGTTTTTTCCATCTTCTTCCATATTATTCCAGAGTCATTGGTGAGGTTTCTTCTTCTCTACTACCTAGGAGGAAAACAATCTGTAAGGCTGGGCTAATACATGGCAAGATAAAAGCAATCTCAAGGATTTTATTTACAAATTCAAAATGTGTATCAGTATTACAATGTAGTTCAGTGAACTCTCTGCACGTTCTCAAAACTGATGTAAAATAGTGATTTTTTTTAATTAAACTGTGATTTTTTTTTTCAGCTAAGGGTGATCAAAGATTCAGTCACAGATAAATTCATAAATGGAAGGATTAAAGGTTTACTTTCTGAACAGATGCACTTCTGCATTTGTTTTAGGTTTTAAAGATTAGTCCATTGTCTTTGCACAGTTGATTTCCTGAGCTGAATCTGTGAGAGGAAAAAAAAAATTTATAGTAACAAAAACACTCGAGTAACAAAAGCTAAAATTATTTTTGCATAAGCGAAATATTCAATAATGAAAGATGGCATGAGGTCACTTCTTTGTGCTGGATGGGTTCAGACTTTCTGGCAAGTAGCAGGCTTCTTTAAAAAAGAAGATTATATCCTATACACAGGACATTATATTAGTTCAAAGATATCCAGAGTGTATGATTTGGATAAACTGCATGTATAACCATTTTTTAGGTTTCTGACAATTTATTTAAGAAGCAGGACTCAATAAACTTGAGATCGGTATGCTGTTGGCTGCCATGTAATAAGGTGAAAAATTCTCTATTTTGTCACCCTAACAGCTAACACAAGAATTCCTCTTGGAAGGAACTTCCTTTGTGAAAATATGTTCCCTCAATATGGGCCCCCCACCCCTCATGTCAAGAGCCTTAGAGTGGGTGGTTCCCTGCAGAATGGCTGTCAAGACCCCAAAGAGAAAGGGAAATCGCTCTGAATTAGACATGGGAAAGAATTTGTTATTTTATCTCTGAAAGGAATGGAGAGAAGATGACAAGGGAAGAGAAGAATAGGAGTAAATGGAGTAAAGCTGGGATTAGGTGGGAGTGAAGCTCTTGAGTCAAGGGAAGTCAGAAAAGATTTTAAGGATGGGGTGCCTTACTGGGAAAGTTGTTTACACTAATGCAAGGTGAGGCTCACCTCACCTCTATTTTGCCCCCAATTGTCAGTTAGGTGTACTAAGGCCATAAACGCTCTGTGTAAGTGGGGTCTTTGTGAAAATCAGAGGAGGAGAGTTAAATTTCACACCTGGGTGCATCTTGGTACAAATCAGAGGTACAAGGCAAGAAAGTAGGGGCCCAGGAGGCAGAAGAGGCTACAAGACTGTAAAGCCCAGGAAATGCACAAATATTTTTAGGGAGAGCTTATGATTTCTACACATCTGAGGCAACATCACCAGGGAAGGATAAGCTAACATTGTAATGGACAGGGGTTTCACATCTATAAAACATCCCTCTTTCCTACCAAATGACCCTACTTTCAACATAAAAACCTTCAATAATTAAAAGTTAATTTAATTACAACTAAATCCAAGTATTTGAAGTAATTCTGGCTTCTCTCCAAAGGCTGACCACAACAATCAGTTCTATACTAAATAAACCAGTTGCCAACAAGTCGATTACAACTCATGGTGACCTCATGTGTATCAGAGTAGAATTGTGCGCCATAGGGTTTCAATGGCTGTTTTTGCTTTTGTTTTGTGGGGGAGCAGATTTAGAATTAGAAGACTTGGGCTTAGGTCCCAGGATAGCTACTTATTAACACTGTGACCTCGGGCAACTCACTAGTGTCTTGGGACCTCTACTTCTTCATCTGTAAATGGACATAAAATGAGTTCTCCTCCCTTTCAAGGGTGCTATGAATATCATAGAAGAAAATGTATGTGTATTGTAAACTGACAAGAGAGGAACATGTGTTAGCTATTTTTTCCTTGCTATCAGGAAAGCAAAGACTTCAAATTATTAATCTGGTGGGAAGAGACACTGATGTTCAAACATTGCAAGGGTTTTGGGGCAGGCTGGGATAAAAGAGCCTGATCATTAAGGTACAAGTCAGGAATCTTAAAATGTGTTTGATATATGGGTCTTTATTAAGTAACACCCTGGGCTTAATTGAGAGCTTCATAAAGACTAAAGAATACAAAATCCTAGCCAGAAATTGGGAATTCCTTCTCACCACATCAGGAAAGGTGTGTGTCAGGGTTGTATCCCTTCACCATACTTATTCAATCTGTATACTGAGGAAATAATCCGCGAAGCTAGATTATATGAAAAGGAACATGGCATCAGGATTGGAGGAAGGCTCATTAACAACCTGCAATATGCAGAGGACACAACCTTGCTTACTAAAAGTAAAGAGGACTTGAAGCACTTACTGATGAAGATCAGGGCCTACAGCCTTCAGATGGATTACATCTCAACATAAAGGAAACAAAAATCCTCACAACTGGACCAATAAGCAACATTACAATAAACAGAGAAAATACTGAAGTTGTCAAGGATTTCATTTTACTTGGATTCACAATCAACATCCATGGAAGCAGCAGTCAAGAAATCAAACAACGTATTGCATTAGGCAAATCTGCTGCAAAAGACTTCTTTAAAGTGTTAAAAAGCAAAGACATCACTTTGAGGATTAAGGTGTGCCTGACTCAAGCCATGGTACGTTCAATTGTCTCATAAGCATGCAAAAGCCGGACAATGAATAAGGAAGACCAAAGGAGAATCAGTGCCTTTGAATTACAGTGTTGGTGAAGAATACTGAATGTATCACAGACTACCAGAAGAATGAACCCACTGTCATGGAAGAAGAGTGTAGCCAGGATGCTCCTAAGAAGTGAGGATGGTGAGACTTTGTCTCACGTACTTTGGACATATTATCAGGAGGGACCAGTCCCTGGAGAAGGACATCATTCTTGGTAAAGCAGAGGGTCGGAAAAAAAAGAAGACCCTCAGTGAGATGGATTGACACAGTGGCTGCAACAACGGGCTCAAACACAGCAAGGATTGTGAGGATGACACAGGACCAGACAGTGTTTCATTCTGTTGCACACAGGGTCACTATGAGTCGGATCCGTCTCGACAACACCTAATAATGTAACACCAATCTCACCAAAAACCAGAATGATGTAGAGGCAGTGGTATGACATGCTTGTATTCTCCTCAAACATTCAAGATAAATAAATACAAACAAAATCAATACCAAATCTCATTTAGTTGGTAGAGCAGCAGTGTCAGTCAAAAAATTCACTTTCCATATAGCATACACCAGAGTTGCCATTTCACCCCTCTGCTTAATTCCACTTTTTTTTTTTTTTAATAAAAATCCCTGCTTTTTAGGGCTGTGGGGACCATGGTCTCGGGGGAACATCTAGCTCAACTGGCATAACACAGTTTATAAAGACAATGTTCTACATTCTACCTTGGTGAGTAGCATCTGGGGTCTTAAAAGCCTGTGAGCAGCCAGCTAAGATACTCCACTGGGAGCAAGGGAGAATGAAGAGAACAGGATACAAGGAAAAGATTAGTCCAAAGGACTAATGGACCACAGCTACCAAGGCCTCCACCGGACTGAGTCCAGTACAGCTAGATGATGCCCAGCTACCACCACTGACTGCTCTAACCGAGATCACAACAGAGGGTTCTGGACAGAGCTGGAGAAGGATGTAGAACAAAATTCTAACACACAAAAAAAAGACCAGATTTACTGGCCTGAAACAGACTGGAGGAACCCCGAGAGTATGGCCCCCAGACACCCTTTTAGCTCAGTGGTGAAGTCACTTCTGAGGTTCACCATTCAGCCGGGGACTGGACAGCCCCATAAAACAAAACAGGACTAATGAGGCACAGCAGTCCAGGGACAAGGACTAGAAGGCAGAAGGGGACAGGAAAGCTAGTGATAGGGAACTCAAGGTTGAGTAAGGACAGTGTTGACATGTAGTGGGGTTCTTAACCATTGTCACAGGGCAACATGTGTACTAATTGTTTAATGAGAAACTATTTTATTCTGTAAACCTTCATCTAAAGTGAGAATAGCAGCACAACTGGAAGAAAGTAATCGATGTCACTGAATTGTGCATGTAGAAATTTTTGAAATAGTGTATCTTTGGCTATGTATATTTTCACCAAAAAAAAAAAAGAAGGTCAAGAAGGAAGAGGGTTGACATGTCGTGGGGTTGTTAACCAATGACATAAAACAATATGTGTACTGACTGTTTAATGAGAAACTATTTGTTCTGTAAACCTTCACCTAAAGTACAATTTTTTATATATATATATATATATATATATCCCTACTTTTTGTACTCCCCATCTATAATACATAATGATTGGTAGAGTTCAGACAGCCAGCATACATCCAAACCATTTTAAAAACATTAATTCTGTCATTGCCAGGTACTGTTTATAACTACTATACAACACTTCTGTTCAGCACAGAGCAGAATTGTAATGGGGGGCGGACATTTATGAAAACTTATATACTCCTTCTAGATGCCATGCTGGGGGAGATGTTTTCACCTATATTTGCTCTGTTCTTTCTCACAATGACGTAGGCGTTGGTGGCATTTTACAGATGAAGGAATGGAGGCTCAGACTGGTTATTAAATGACTAGCCCAGAATCACACAGCAAGGAAAGAGCGGTGCCTAGGCCCATGATAATTACTTTAAATTGGTGCAATTCCAGTAACTGTACATCAGTGGCAAGGAACATGAGGTTTGCTTAAGTTTTTATGCCCATGGTAAACTTTAGTTGGCAGATAACAATATCCTTAAGCACTTACGTGCCCAGTTTGAGAAGTTACTGAACTGTGAATCTCCTTCCACAGAAATGGTTTCTAACTTTAAAATTCAAGCATAAAGGCTTCTCACTACAGCCAGGTGTCTTCAAGGAAAACACTGAAAAGAAAACATTAATTCACTAAACAGCTGTCAACAACAGTTTTATAAAGAAGCCATCTGCTATGGGTTGAACTGCATTCCCCCAAGATATGTATAGATGTCCTGGCCCCTGTACCTAGAGATGTGATTTTGTTTGGAAACAGGATTTTCTTTGTTATGTTAATGAGGTCATACCAGAGTAGGGTAGAT